ATACGAAACGACGTGCGCTCGTATAGGGATTTATTGAGCTTAGGGATTAGACAGGGATACAAGGATATAGGCTGATACATAATACAGGGTTAGGGTTTGGGGTCAGAGTTGATGGGTCAAGGGTTGAAGGTTTGTGGGCGTTCGGGGTCAGAGCTTGGGCGCTCGAGTATAAGGGATGTAGGGTTCAAGGTCCAAGGCATAGAGTTTGTGCAGTTTAGAGTCCAAGGTTTAGGGCCAAAAGGCTTGTTGTGTAGGGTTTGGGGTTGAAGATGAGAAGCCCCTCAGTTTAGCCTGCAGGTAGATTAGGGTTTAGAGTTTGATTGATGGTCCTCAATCATGGCGCTACCAAGATCCATGCTTTGTTCCTCCTAAGGTACGTAGCGTAACATTAGCGCACAGCCCTGTGGAGTAGTGTCTCCGAAGATTCTCTACATAATCCTAAGTGGGGCCTTCAACAAATTTTCAGGCACCTAGAGGTTTCTTGGGTTCCTGGGGTATCCGATTGCCAAGAGTTCCTTCCCAAGAAGTTGAGATCCTGGCAACTCTTTTGGACATGGATGTCAATCCCACTTTCTCCCCTGTGAAATGTGGCCGTTGTACTTCTGCAGTGGTGTGCGATGGCAAGGCTTTGGGCTTCAGGAGGAGGGCTGGCTAGCACACTCCCGCCTTCGTCAGGAAGATAGGATTCGCCAGGACAACGCAGACAATCAAACTCTAGACCCTAAGCAATCAAATCTTACTGGGTTGCTGTTAAGGAACTTAAATTAAGCTACATTGGGGAAACCCTATAACTTACGATATATATACCCATTATGGTAACAATTTAAGTTCCTTAACAGCAACCAGGAATCGGGTTATGCGCAGCCTCACCATGGCCAGAGTTCAGCATTTTTCAATGTGATATAGTCTAAACTCCTTAGGGGGGTTAGACAGGGTGTTATGTAGGGTTTGGGGGGTAGAGGGTTTAGGGTCTTAGCTCCACGTATTCAAGGGGTACCGTACTTGTGGCTTTCCATCATAAAAATTGACCACGGCCTCTTCTTGTTGCTATACTTCCACGGCTTGTTTGAATTTGCCAGCTGTGATATTAAACCCTATATAACCCCTATATAACCCATTATAGTAGTTTCCATTTTCTTTTCCATTCTCCCTATAATTCCCTATATGAGCTGTAGTCTAAACTCCTTAAAGGGGGATTATATGGGGGATTATATATGGCACTACTATAGGGGTTACTAAGGGGGATACTAGGAGTTTAGACAGTAGCTCATATAACCCCTACCCTAAACCCATATAGGGTTGGCCATGAAAGCTGGATACGGCTTCTGAGGAAGCCCCAGAGGATGATACGTCTAAGCCTTACCTAAATCCCCAAAAGTATGTAAAATAATAGCCCTAAAACCCTAATAATAGCCATAAAGGCCATTATGTTACATACTTTTGGGGTCCAGGTATACCCTAGAGCCTAAGCTTCCTAAACATCCCCTTAACTTCATAGACCTTAAGCCCGAACTTCCCGAAATCCTTAGCCCTGAAGCATTGGAACCAGGCGCCTGCGCACTTCACCGCCCTCTTGGGCGTCTTTGATTCAAAGGCCAACTGAGGGGGGGGGATTGGCGGAGGTGTCCCTTCACCTAAACCCCTCAACTCTGAACTCTAAACCCTTTAAACCCTAAACCCCAAGTTTTCCATTTTCTTTTCTCTTATCGCAATTTAACAATTTTTTTAGGTTTGGGGCTTAGGGCTGTTGGGGATGTCCCAGACCGGGTATACGAATGTGTAGGGACATGTGGGGACTCGGTGGATATTACCCCAAGCATACAGGATCACATGAGACGAAGCATAGAGCATGAAATGACAACACTGTGTACGTGGGGGTCAGGTTTATAATTGTTATGGCTGCCAATGTAGAAGCTTAACAGTTACCAGTGCTACTCTAGTCCTGCTTTAGGTGCTTTCAGACGCACGCTTTCCCTGTTCAGACTTTTGCCGCATCTTCTCAAGCCCTTCAGGCAGCAGCTTTTTGTGGTAAAAGGTTCATGGCTCCTGTCTGCAAGTTTGCCTTCGATGCGTGCCCCAGCCCCCGGCCAACAGAGCGTTTACTGATGGTGTGGTTGCGCCTCCAAAATCCTGAACTGATGCAGGGTTTGCAAGCTTGACCAGCCGTGACACTGCACTGGGCCCATTTCAAGGGGACATGCTCCCTTTTTGCGCCTGTCCACCCAACAAGTGAGTATTGCTTTTGCTTGAAGATGTTGCACACCACGCCTGCAAATAAGCCTGTGAAGGTCTTGGCGAAGTGACCATCCGCACTATGAGGTGCTGAAAGCAAAAACATTTGAAGCACACCCTTTGACCCTTTGAGCCCTGCAGCCGTCCAGCGATGCTTGCTGTCGACCTTCTACCCAAGAAGCATGGCACCTCGCTAGAATCCCCGGAGAACCCACATTCTACCATTCCATCATGTGAATTTTGTTAGTACGACTCTTGGTATGATACATCGGTACTTAAGAACATCTTTGAGTGTATGGGTTGGATGCACTGCTGACCCGTGCCAAAATCCAACTCTTTCTTTTATACCCTAAGCGCCCGACCTGAACCTTACCTTGGCTCTGGTTACCTGAAAGCCCAAAAAACTCAAACACCAACACCCTGAACCGCAACAAACGCACCCGGACCCCTACTATAAACCAAGTGAGCCATAAACCCTCGTTCCCAAACCCCAATCTGCAAAGCACCAGGCTGGGGAGTACTACTACGAGCTCATGGGCACCTCATCCCCACCCTTGCCTTTGGAGACGTACAAGATGCAGGCAGCGAGTCTTGTAAGGTTCGTAATGGGACTACAGTATGCAGAAAATGCATGGGGAGCATGTAAGGCTTCTACATCTGATGAGTATACATATCTATACATATACTTATATTTATGTACACGCACATTGGAGCCAGTGTTTAGAGATGCACTGTTTGAGTGGCCTCTTATACCGCTTTGGCAAGTGCAATTGCTTCTGCGTAGGCTTTCAAGGTATGTAGGCAGGAACAAGGAGTCGCTCAGGGACTCGGGAGGGTACATTGTATGATTATAAGGTTCATCGTTTTGAAAGAGGGATGATGTTTCCAACAGGATTGTGAGTACGGGGTGCAGGCTGGAGTTTATTGGCTTAGGGGCTTTATCAAGGTCTTGGGTGTAGCACACGACACATCATATTTGCATGTCATGTTAGGCCCTAAACCCTAAATCCTAAACCCTAAACCCGTGGGAGATGCTGACTACTGTTCTTGTTAGCATGATCAGACATCTCCTGTTCTCAGGGTGCCAAAAGCTCCGACTTCGGGGTTCAGCATTTCTATGGATGGTTTAGGGTTTAGGGTTTAGGTGGCTTCCTCGGAAAGGTTGGACCGAAGTTGTGGGATTCTTCATATCTTCATGGAGCCATCACCAGCGTGAAAGCAGAACCACCCAAGACATGAGCTACTGACTAAAGTTAGGTTGGGGGGGACCTAGAGGGGATCTTTAAGGGGTTTAGCCGGGACTTTTGAGATAGGTCAATCCCCTCTCCAGTAAGAGCCCGTAGGTAGGAAGTCAATAGGGGCTTGATATACCTACAGTAGTCCTTTGTGGAACCCATTACTGGGTGGGAGATTGACCCAACTTTTACGGATTATATCATAATTTAAGTCCAGGGCCCAAGCCCAGATCCGAAAAACCTGATTCCCCAAGATCCCTAAATCCCCAAACCCAAAATCTCCAAGAGCCTAAACATAATTGAAGAGGATATTCCCTAAAACCCTGTAGAACCTACGTGTGTTCTTGTATAAACCCTCTCAAACCGCATATGGTTCCCCAAGCCCTAAACCCCTGTCTAAACCCTAAGCCCTAAACTTTGTCCTGGTGAAGGTCAAGGCAGAGGCCTCGGGCACCAAGGACGCTTTCTTTCGAGTCTTAGGGTTTAGGGGTTTAGGGTTTAGGGTTTAGGGGTTTAGGGTTTAGGGTTTAGGGGCTTAGGGTTTAGGGTTTAGGGGCTAGGGTTTCGGGTTTAGGGTGGGCTTGTTCAACTATTTTGTAGGGGATACGCAGCGCTTGTATAGGGTTTAAGAGGTAAATGTGGGGTGCATGGGGACTCCGAACACCAAAAATAAGGACCTACGGCCAGAGCTACCGCATGACCTTGGAAGGGGGTCCTACTTGGGGGGGTTTGGTGCTACCAAGATCCACTTATTGAACTACAGGGTACTTTGAAAGGGGGTTCAGACTTTTATAGGTGTGTATGTGACACATGCTCTATGTTCTAAACTCCTTGAAGAGGGATTATGATATGTAGCGGGTTAGGGGAATATTGCAGGGGTTATTAACGGGGATACTTGAAGTTTTCACTGTGGCTCATATAGCCCTAAACCTTAAGCCTTCAACCCTTAACAGGGGCATCACGTTACTTTTGGCCTACAGATGCCACACATGACTTTGTGCAGGAACTGGAGGCATGGATTGAGTAGTGCGTAGATAATCCACTCGAGTCATGAATCCCCATACCCCATTCCTTCATTCCCAGCTATCGGCCAGGATTCTGATGTAGAAGCTTGCTAAAATTGCAGCATGTCGCAGCTATTCTCCCAATATCCTCAGACAATTAGCTTAACATTTGCCACGCATTTCTATGCTAACTAAAAGGTCACTCATGAGATGCTCAAGATTAGGCGCCCGCGGATTCTAAGATCCTGCGAAAGTCTCACATTACAGCCATCCCTAACAGATTCTCCGTGACAAGTTATTCCCAGAAATCAGCACCTTCTCAGATCACCCAATACTGGAACAACGCGTCATTGTGTTATCTGCATTTTGTCTGCGGACGTCCATGTATCCTGAACTGCATGACCCGCGAAAACTGGCATGAACAGGACAACTTGTTGTTTACTAGAACATTTTGCAAGTCTGCGCAGAAAACCTTCAAATCCCTGAACAATTCCTCAAAACCGCTTGAGGAAATCCTTTCTACACCCTTCGACCACATACAGAAGTCGTCAGGACATCATCTTGCCGCTCCGGAACATGCAAGTGGAGCGTGCGCGCACCTGGCTGCAGAACAGAGGGGCTGGGCCGCCAAACCCACCCCCGGACTACATCACTTATGAGACTCGGGCAGCGAATGGTGCTTTCTGTTCTGTAAAAGGCCGCACAGTTTTAACAACTCGGGGTCCCACGGTGGCAGCTCCTAAGCACGGACGGAGTGCTGTCTTTTAGGGTATGCGAGGGGGACGTTTACTTAGGAAATGCGTGAATTCTCGGTGCTTTCTAACAGGAGCAACGTATTTGCAGATAACAAGTGCTCAGCATTGCTCAGCCGAGGATGTGAAGGTCTCGTCGCCCTATTACACTGCGCCGAAGCAGGCCCAAGTGTGTCACACAGTTTAGGGCTCAGGGTTTTGGGATTAGTGTTATGGTTTGAGTGTTTATACGTATAAAATGAGTTTGTTCTCAAACTGGGCGTGGTCTTGGGGACCTCAGGCTTATGCAGGTCCATAGTCGGAATGGTACATAGATCAAATTGACAGAATTCCAATCCCTCCATAGAAAGATGAGGAAGTCTTAGAAAGCACTTGTTCGGATAGCTTTGCAACCCAGAAAAAGCTGTTCAAGAGTGCGGAAGGTGAGTATCTACAACGGCAACGGTACCACTGTGTCGCCCTGAGTCTGCTTTGACATGTCCCCAGAGGGTGTGCGGTTCATGGTGTGGGGATTTAGGTCTAGGAATTTAGGAACTTATTGGTTGTTGGTAGGCATGGAGAATGGAGGAACAGGATCCCTGCAATAGCCCCAGATTATCCTTAGCAATACAGTACCGTATTTTGAATTTTGTTTTCATTCCTTAGTTCCCTACAAACCACCAGCAAATTACGCCCTTCATGCTTCAGGGGTTCTAGAGGGCCAACATTATCATGACAAGAATGCGAAGACAGAGCATCTGCTGGCAAGTTCAGAGGCTCCATCACCGTAGCCCCCATATTGAAGCCCCAGAGAGAAAAGAAGACCCTTCAAGAGGTGGTCACGCCCCAGATAATATTGAATCCCGAAGAAATCCTCCACCAGCATGATTGCATGCTCCTTGTATCGCTATGATATCCAATGCAGTGGTCAGAAAGAGCTCTTACCATACTTCGTTGAGACGTTGAGATCCGAGCTCTGAATGATGTTTGAAGGAACACCTTTTTTGTCAGATGCAGCAACGATGTCACCCCGCAACTGAGAACAGAAAGACATCTGATCTGGCAAACCTACCAAATACCCACGGAAGAGAGACTGTCCCTCAACTCACATATCTGAAAGGGGTTTCCAAAATTAGAGATCCTGTTAAGAAGGATTGTCGTATTTGGGGGCACATAACGCTTTAAGGGGCCCCTTCTTTTGGGAACATGTTCTAATCCTGATCCCCCCTCCACCACGCACTTGAGGGCGTTGCTGGGTCCTGGTTTGTTTATTGGAAATGAAAATGAGTCATCATTAACGATGAGGCCACATCAACCATTCCTCATTAAATAACTTATCAATCCGCACGATCAATTACGCATAAACCCTACAAAACCCCTACAAGCCCTGGGATGGGAACCTATTTTCCACAGGCGGATCACGGCGAAGTATAGGGTTTAGGGCTTCGTGCAGAACGTTCTTGAGAGACACTCCTGCCAGCAAAATCCTCATGCAATGATCTGAATCGTTACATAATTCGCATTCTTTCATCACATTCCCTCATAAAACTACAGTAAGTCTGCAGTATACTATCCCCCCCGTCCTCCCCCCACACTCTTTTGAAGTTAGCTAGGTAGGCCACCACGATGCCGCATCTTTAGCTCTTTAGCAACCCGCGTACAAGCCCAACGATGCCTCCAAGGGCAAAGGCGAGGGCAAGGGCCGTGGACCAGGAGAGGGCAAGGCACACGGTTTAGCGTTCAGGGTTTGGTTTTCAAGCCTCATAGGAGCTAGTGTCAGTATAAGGCTTATACCACGGCACCAATAATACATGAAGAATCGAATGGACAAGAAAATTAGAAATAACATGGAAGCTAGGGTTACATATGGATGTTTTTGAGGACGGCCCCTGTCCATATTAGTGTTACCAGGGGACCATTAAGAGTGCACACCGGGGTCCCCTTCGGTAGTTTAGTATAGTCCCCAATACACTCCCTAGTAGGAACCCACGTACATTACGTAACTACATAAGGAAATATTGACTGTAGCTCATGGAGTTCGGTGTGCCTAGGGTAAGACTTCCTGCTAATGGCGCTTGGTAGGTTCTCCAATTCATGATCATCTTGGGGCCCCCATGGCATGGGAAGATGATGCCCTGATGTTTGGGGTACCCAAACAGGGAAACAGGGAGCGTAATGACAACCTACCAGTTGTTCTTGAGAACTTCTTCCAACCTTGCCTGCAGCCCATGGCCTCTATTGCAAGCATTGTTCTCACGACTTTCGGAACAAGAAGTGCAGTAGGTAAAGGGTTTACATGACCCTCAATCGGACATGACTTCTCCCGTATTCCCAGTGAAGCCCGCATGAGCCGAAACCCGAATACCCACAGTTATGTTGCGAGAAGTTGTTTTTGGTTGAGAAGTGTGTGCGTGTGTGTGTGTATATACACTGTCTGCTTATCATCCCTTCTTCTGGGGAATGACGAAATTAATTTCATACTTCCCCCACATAGGTCAGTGCTGTTGTACCCATCCTTGCGAATCCTTCCCAGCTCAGCCTCCATGAGCCGCACAACAGGCATCCGATACTCTATGCTCTCCTCGCCGCGTTTAGTATAGCCCTTAATACTCGTGCGCGTAGAGCTCTGGCATTCTGCTCCCTACTTCTTCAAGAATTCCGTACTTCTGATTCTGAAACTATGAGATCTCCAGACTTTCTGTACGCACACACCAGCGTTTCGTGAAACACCTCCTAAGGTCGTTAGCTGCATATCGCTGCCAGCTGTTGGTAAATCCGACCTTACCTGCCCCGGCTGTAAAGCCTATACGCTTGACACCCTACAATTTGTTCTTCGACCCTGCATCCTCCACGAGCCTACATCCGAAACCTTGAACCCCAAGCTTACACACCAACTACCCTAAACCTTCGGAAGCCTTGTCAGGGTGATGGCCGGAGACCTTCCGCACAGGCCAGCCAGGCTCCCGCACCGAACATTTTTCTTGAGGAGGGGCAAACCTAGACCTTCACCCCTAAAGCGCAAAATTTTTTGGTAGTCCTCACAAGAGTCCTAACTCAAAACCAGACCAGACCAACAAAAGGAACTACATTGGAGGCTCAAGGTAAGGCTTGGGGTTCAGGTCTCTGAGTAGGGTTCTAGGGTCTTGAAGGGCATCCCGTTTTGCAAAGCTTTCACTGCGCAGGGCTCTGCAGGGTCTGAAAGAGATGTGTCGGGCTTGGGTGCGAAAACACTGGGCCCTTGCAAAGAAGATCCGCATTAGTTTTGAGGCTCTGAAGCCCAGAGAAGGTATTAATCTGTGGATTCAAGGAGTGGGGCCGTAAAGTTTGAGAACTGGGTGTCGTCACGTATAGAGTTTGCGGGTCATATGTCCATGCTGAAAAGTCCGAAATCTCCAAAATGGGAACATGTCCACTTTGACCCCTGATTGTTGGACATGTTGAATCACTGCAAGTCCTTATCTCTACACGATACCCGTTACCTAAACCCCAAAAGTATGCAAAATAATAGCCCTAAACCCCTAATAATAGCCATAAAGGCCATTATTTTACATACTTTTGGGGTCCAGGTATACATTAAGGGTTGCAGGTTTGCGCGCCTAGAGCTGCACATTGCATTGCAGTAACTCTAAAGCACCATCCCTCCTTGCCACAGTGCATGAAGATGCCTTCTATCAAATGGATTTCCTGGCGCCCCCAGATAGGACGAGCCCTTCAAGAAACCTCTGACTCCCATGTAATTTTCCATTTGGTTCCTCGTTGTGGGTGGTAATCTCCCTAAGCACTACCCAAAGGGTCCATGTAACCAGTAGCTAGGTACTTGAGACTTTGTTGCGAGTAATTCTGCTACAGGCTTGGGGTAAGTATATGGTTGTTAAGTACTTGGATCCTTCGGGCTATAAACCCCAGACCCTAAACCCCGAACCCTAGACCAAAATCCTAAACCCTAAATCCCACACCCTCAACCCCCTTACGGCTACACTGTTCCAACCCTGAAGCCTAAAGCCTAAACCAAATATAACCCATTATAGTAGTTTCTGTTTTCCAGTATCCCCATATAACCCCAATAATCCTGAACCCTAAACCCTAAATATTAGTTTCCATTTTCTTATCCATCAATTTCCCCAATAATCCTACACCCTAAACCTTAAAGGTATAGATTCCATTTTCTTTTCCATGATCCGAATATAACCTTAATACACCCTGAACCCTAAACCCCTAAACCCTGAACCCCTAAACCTTCAGGTGGCCAAGCTGGTTGTTGAGTTCTGGCCGAAGGCCTGCATGGGGTTGGGTGAGCTTTGGGGTCCCTTCTGAAGGGGTTTGGGGTTTAGGGTTTAAGGTTTTGAGTTTTGGGGCTTAGGGTTTGGGGTGTAGGGTTTGGGGTTTGAGGTTTGGGGTTTCGGGTTTGGGGTTTAGGGTTCAGAGGGTTTTATATAGGGACTTGGGGTCCCTTTCAAAGGTATGCAGAGGGTTGTATATTAGCTGTACGTACATGGTTTAGTGGTAGTTTTCAAGGGAGCCTTTAAGAGCCACTGACTCTGTATGGGCCCCCAACGGGGGGTTTCGATTCGGGGGCCCTATACCAGCCTCATGGGACCCCAGGCAATAATTCAACTCAAAGCTATAGTCCCCATTAAGTAGATAGAATGATATTATAATAAGATCCCCATATACCCATATTCTATCTACTTAAGGGGGACTATAAACTTCTGTGTGGAGTTGATGCTTCAAGCAGCGGTCCAACATTTCTTGCCTGGCTCTTCGGAACTTTTACTGAACGGGGTTCCCCCTAAACCCTAACCCCTAAACCCTAAACCTGATAGGGAGGCTACAAGTTTGGCTCTAGGAAGGGTCCTAACCAGCAAAGATTTGTTTCTGTTACCCTAAG